ATTGTCAAAGGATTTCCAAAAATACAGAGATATTTATTTGAGAGTCATTTTGGCCCCTTCACTACTGAACACTTAAAACGAGGAGTATACAAAAAATCCTTGGAGAGGCACAACAATGTACAGATAAAAATGTAATTATGTAGTATATGATTTAAAATGTGATCACAATTAATCTATATCAGCAATGCAGCCACTGTTACAAGACGTTGCTGCCTTCAAAGGCAGTGGGGGCTGGAGGGGACATGGCAAACTTGCAAGGGAAAATTTTCTTCTTGAAAATGGCTATTGGGAAAGTGGAATATTTGAGTCTCTTTTGACTGATGGAGGTGAATTTTTCTTCCCTGATCTCTCAAAGGATGAAGCTCTTGTCTTTTTAATAGGAATAAGAACCTTTGTTGTGCACAGAGGCTTATCTGTGAAATGTTGCAGAATTCTGGGCATTCAAAAAACAAGCATATAGCGTGTGTCCAAATAAGAGGAGAGAGGACAGGAGATATTTCAGTTTCTTCAAGAATACAGAGCACAATCACAGCAGAAGCCTTAAATCACTAACAGTGTATTTAAATAATAGACCTAGAGATTTCATGTTTTGGGGTGTCAATAATCTCAATTTGGCCTGTGGTGCCAGAATAAGCGATAATCGGTAGAATGAAAAGATAATTAAATGCTAGGACAATCATAACATGTTGATCTTATTTGCAGACCGAATGAGAAGTGAGCAATGTCAGGTCCCCTGCCCCCGCACCGCTCGAGGCGACTTTGCTTATCCCATCACCACAGGTGGCGTCATCTGGTCCCTGTCTGCGGTGTACGGTTGTCCCTGCCACCGTGCTCCAGACTGGCAGTGTGTCTGACTCTGCACGCTCCAGAGCAGCATCCTTAGATGGGTGCCGAACCTGATCATGTGACCCGGCACACGGTGATGACCTCAGAGACCACAAGAGAAAGAAGAAACTCCTCCCACGTGTTGTGGTTAACACTAATTGGAGGTTAGCCAATCAGCACACCCTGTGTGTATATAAACTAGCCTCCCCCTTGACTCAGTGACCTGTTGTGGTTTTGGCGTTACACTGTATTTGGATTTTCTGGTTACCGATCTCTGGCTTGTTTTACGATTATTCTGTCCTCCTTATCCCTGACCTAGGCTTATCTCTACGTTACTCTGTCTCACTGTATTCCCTTGAACTTGGCTTACTTTGACTATCCCTTTTGCATAGCCCGACCATTCTAAGGAACGGTATTGCAATTCTCTCTGTTGTGTCCTGTCTGCGTGTTTAGTTTCCCTAGTGAACGTTACAAGCAACAGAGGGAAAAAAAGGAACATTAAAAAAAAATGAATCTATATTTATATGTGATATATTTAATAAATATATTTTACTACTACTAAGGATTTTACCTTTTATTGGTAACTTTTTCTCACTTGGAATGGCAGGAAAAAGCTCCTAACATTACTGCAAAATACATACATAATATTATGATAAAATTATAATATGTATATATTTTATAGTACACCGATTGGACTATTTTCGATCTTTTTGGTTTGTTCTTCTGATTCATTTCCGAATCAACATACCGCCGAGCTGAATCGACGTCATACCAAATTTCAGGTGTCCTGAAAAACTTTTCTATCTTCAAAAATAATGATTCGGCAAAAATATAATGTTTCATTGTGATCAAGTTTAATGAAAACATGCCTTGGAATAAAGCGCATAATGCGATAGTTTTTTTATTTGTATCCTTTGCTTTACCGTCTTTGGCTTGCACTCTTTAGTATGTTTGCATATAGAAGGTGAATGCAATATCTGAGCTAAAAACACCATTCAAAAAAACCATAAAACACTGGATTGACTAAGGCAGATGTTCACTTTTATATTAGTTGAGTGGCAGAGAAGGGTCCAGGCTGTAGGCACTAGCAGAGCCCCATTCGTCTTCAAACTGCTCAAACTTCGGCACTTCAGGACTTTGGCAATTCCCTAACTTAACCCCTAACCCTACTCTTTCCCCTTCCTCTAACCCTAACCCTACCCTTAACTCTAACCCTAGCCCTACTAGGGTTAGGTGTTAGGTTAGGGGTAGGGTTAGGGGTTAGGTTAGAGGTAGGGTTGTTTCTCACTGATGTAGTCACATACAAGAGCTAATTTTTGACGCATTTAGTGCCACCTTCGGGCAATTTATGCATGTATAATTTCTTCCAAATTGGGGAGTTGAGTGGATTTTCTTATGGCTCAAATTTGACAGATATTTATTTAGCAGGCTCTAAGAGTTACATCAGATATAAAATTTTTTTTTTTTTTTTTACATTAGCTTTTTATAAGAGTAAATATCAACATATGTTTGAAAGCACAAGTCTCATGGAATATTTTAATACATTTTAATTTCATTGGAGTTAGAGGGACACTCCAAGCACCAGCAGGGGAGGGACGAGCTGTAAATTAAAGCTCTCAGCCAATGAGCACAGTCTTGCATTGCCCTGATTAGCACGGAAGAGCAATCCAGATTTTCTTTCAGGAGAAGACCTGATGTAGGGGATGCAGTCATGGAAGCCTGGCATGACCAGATTATTTGTTAAACCATACTAAAATAATTTCACATCTTGTAATGGGAAGTTGCCAGGGCACTACAGCAGACTATTTATAGCATTTATAGTGCTTGTTGCATTCTTTTAAATACGAAACTTAAATACCAAAATAGAGTGGTCAGTATGTATTTGTTGCCTCTTTCAGCAGACTAGAGAGCTATTATGAGAACGACAAATTTGATGTCAATGGTGTATGAATGGGTAGTATAACACTCATTTTTGGTTTGATTTTAAGACAAACCAACAGATGGAAACGTAGAATATTGTATTTTTGGGGAAAATATTTCTTACATGCATTCGACACTGAGGCATGGTTGATCTTGAGTGACTAGAACAGATGACGTTACAACCTCTTTTCTGTTTCTGATGATTAGAAAAGGATTATTAAGAAGATGATTAGAATCGCCAACGAGCATATTGTATCAATAGAATTGACTTTGTAATGATGATCTATTTTTGAATCAACTTTGGTGGTGTATATAGAGAATGCATTATATGTGTGAGAGACGGACACAGTGAGACACAGATATTGAGAAACAGAACATTGAGGGCAGGGTGTCTCCACTTAGCATTCGGAAGTCCAGCAAAAAACACCAGCTGTCAACCATTTTAACATCAATGACGTTGTAGGAATTGAGTTTGTATTTGCAACACAAGAAGAATCAAACAGTTTTTATAATTAAAGCCAAGAAAATCTGATCTGTGTTATATTTTTACGTGACACAGAAGAATATATGTATGTATATGGTACAAGGTGAGTTAATTTTAAAAGAAAATAGAAGAATTTGCATTTAAACATATGAATAAGTATTAAGTACTTTGATAAAGACTGTTGTCGAAACGCGTCAGTGCGGTTGTGTATGAGAGCTCTTTTTTTTTTATTATACATATTTTAATCAATTTAATTAAAGTTTGCTCTGGCTACCTTTACCAAAAACCTCCCTATATCTGGTGTTTATTGATAACCTAAGGGGGAGATGCAGTAGCCAGCGGAATATTTTACCATCAGATTCCAGCACTTGATCTCAGCAAGCATCTATATATCCCAAGGTGCTCATAGTCTGAGCCCACTTCCAACAACTCAGCACCACGTGAGTGGTACCCATTTGTTTTTATTTTTTTAAAAGTATTTTATACAGGTTATACTATGATCTGTTGTTTCTTGTTTCTTTAGGTTGTACCCTGATATATGGTAACCTGCATGTGTGTGTTATTTGATATGCTTATGTGTGCTCTCACCTAACTGTTTATTCACTTTCTCCATAGGAAAGCATTATTCAATTCTTTCCCATGGGGTTTTGGGTGACGCTGGACGTCCCGATACATAGAATGAGGACATCCAGTATCAGCCAATCAACAGTCGCCTAACAGCCCAGAAGTCCCTCTTTTGGCTGTCTGGTAGAAAGCCACTAGAGTTTCTTAAAACCTGCAATAATTACCTGCTAAGGGTTAAGGGACCTCTGCCACTGCACCCAGTCCACTTCAATGAGCTGAAGTGGTCCGTGTGCCTATAGTGTCCCTTTAAATTAAGAGAGCATGTTATCTTTCAAAAGTTAAATTCAACATTTCTAAGTAACATATTTAATTGGCTAGAAGAAAGCGTTATAAAATGTACCTTCTCACTCGTCCAAAAGGGTTAAACATTGTTTTCTCTATTTCGGTGAAAGGTATAAATATATGTATAAAGAATTATCTCCAAAGAAGATTCAAAAAATGAATGTGTTGAGATTACTTTCTAAACCATTACTTTCTAAACCATTTCTAAACCATAGCCAAGAGCTAGCCGAACACTTCCTCAGTGATGTAAGGAAACATTGACAATGTAATTACAAAACAGAATTTCCAATGACCTGTTGGAAAATGGAAAAAGAGATCTAATATGTAAAGTGTGTATGCTCACCTGATTATTAATCAGAATGATTGTAAAGTAGGGATCGACCGATTATCGGTTTTACCGATATAATCGGCCGATATTCGGTATTCTCGGCAATATCGGTATCGGCCAATTCAGATACCGATATTGCCGATAATACCTCCTAGGACCGCCAGGCTCATTACAAGCCCGGCGGTCCTGGGGGGGCAGAGAGCAAGCGCTTACTCACCTCCCAGCAGCTCCTCCAGCTCCCCAGTGTAACTCTCGCGAGACCCGCGGCCGTCAGAGCGTTGCCATGGATCACCATGGCAACGCTCCGCGCGACACGCTGGCCGCGAGAGTTGCACTGGGGAGCTGGAGGAGCTGCTGGGAGGTGAGTAATCGCTTGCTCTCCGCCCCCCCCAGAGCTCAGCCAATACCACTGGACCACCAGGGACTGCTATATCCCCCCTCCCTGGCCAGGCAACAAGCAGGGAGGGGGGACAACAAAAATAAATAATAATTAATTAAATATAAAAATAATAATAATTTAATAAAAAATGCCCCCTCACACACTCCATTATATACACATACACTACACAAACACACTGTGTATATAATGCAGTGTGTGTGTTTGTAAAGTGTGTGTGTGTGTGTTTGTATACAATGCACACAAATACACTGCATTATATACACATTATACAAACACACACTGCATTATATACACACACTATACAAACACACTGTGTATATAATGCAGTGTGTGTGTTTGTATAGTGTGTGCGTGTGTTTGTATACAATGCACACAAATACACTGCATTATATACACACACTATACAAACACACTGCATTATATACACACAGTATACAAACACACTGTGTATATAATGCAGTGTGTGTGTTTGTATAGTGTGTGTGTGTGTTTGTATACAATGCACACAAATACACTGCATTATATACACACACTATACAAACACACACACACTGCATTATATACACAGTGTGTTTGTATAGTGTGTGTATATAATGCAGTGTGTGTTTGTATAATGTGTATATAATGCAGTGTATTTGTGTGCATTGTATACAAACACACACACACACACACACTTTACAAACACACACTGCATTATATACACACACTATACAAACACACACTGCATTATATACACACACACACAGTGTGTTTGCATAGTGTGTGTATATAATGCAGTGTGTTTATATAATGCACACTACACAAACACACTGCATTATATACACACACACTATACAAACACACACACTACATTCACTATACAGACACTACACAAATACACACACACTCTGCATTCATTATATACACACACACTTTGCATTTAGTATATACAGCATTCACTTTACGCACACTACCCACACACTACACAAACACTCTGCTTTCATTATATACACACTACACTAATACACACTGCATCCACTACACAAACACGCATTGCATCCTCCACACACACTACACAAACACACAATGCATCCACAACACACACTACACAAACACACACTGCATCCTCTACACACACTACACAAACACACACAGCTCCCCTGTCACACTGCATCCACTACACGTGGCATGTATATTTTGTGCATTTACCTTTAGAAATAGTTTTTATTTTCCAAAATGGTAAATGTACAGAATATCGGCAAATTATATCGGCTATCGGCCTGAAAGTTCACAGAATATCGGTATCGGTATCGGCTCTAAAAAATCAATATCGGTCGATCCCTATTGTAAAGGTTAAATTAGTTTAAATCTATGTTAAATGCTATGTTTACCGTTAACTAACCCCTCTTTTCCAAAGTTAATTCAAATAGCATTCACTCAGCAGATCAGCATTTTTCCAGAAAACAGAAACTTTTTGGGACTCCAATACTTCGGCCAAATGTCAGTTTGGTTCGGTAGAATTTCGGTACCAAAAAACTGATTCTGGAATCAGACAAACCAAAAGGGTTCTGCAAAATATATCCATATTATAATACTAGGTATGTGTTTTGCAGTACGTAGAAGGAGCAAAAATATAGCAAAAATATAGAAACAAAATCTGTATTAATATATTATTTGTCTTTTAAAGGGACTCTCCAGTGCCAGGAAAACAAACCGTTTTCCTGGCACTGCAGGTCTCCTCTCCCTCCCACTCCCCATCCCAAGTTGCTGATGGGGTTAAAACCCCTTCAGTGACTTACCTGTATCCAGCGCCGATGTCCCTCGGCACTGGGTTAGTGTCGGCCCATGCTCCTCACCCGCCAACGTCATTTGGCGGGGGAGACCTATTGCCCGGCCACCGGCAGGGGAGACCTAATTAGACCTCCCCATAGGAAAGCATTGAAAAATGCTTTCAATGCTTTCATATGGGGATTTCAGCGATACTGGTGGTCCTCACATAGCGTGAGGACATTCAGTGATGCTATAGCACACTTTTCATGTGCTATAAACACGGAAGTGCCCTCTAGTGGCTGTCTAGTACCCTCTAGTGGCTGTACCCTCTAGACAGCCACTAGAGGAGGAGTAAACCCTGCTAGGTAAATATTGCAGTTTATGAAAATTGCAATAATTACACTTGCAGGGTTAAGGGTAGTGGGAGTTGGCACCCAGACCACTCCAATGAGCAGAAGTGGTCTGGGTGCCTGGAGTGTCCCTTTAAGTATAAGTTCTGAAATGGACATGCTTGGCCACTGAGTGTTTTGGTTGGTTCGTGATTCGGGTACATTTCTCCTCTGAGTTCGGGAATTTGACCATTCACTTGATTTGCCCATATTTGGATAAATTGCAGTTTAGACCAAAACAAAAACTGATATCTAGTAAAACAATTACTTTTTGAAGGTGTTGTATGAAATCTTTTTTTACTTAAGTGCCTGAAAAAGCAGCTATTAAAAAAATGGCATATTGAGGTAGTATTTTGATGGAGCGTATTCCAATGGGACAAAGCCTAGATTTTATAAAAGACTTTATGGAATTAGGACTATTGTTGTATGAGATAAACGTTTTTAAAAACATCTATGTAATAAAAAAAAATATATAGGTATATTCTCTTCCATGGGTTGATAAATAAGCACAAAAAGTGTGAGCATTTTTATAACTTTATTAATAATTTTACCGTTCAGTTATGAGAACTTGACATCAAGGGAACAAGTCAAACATTGCAGTTTTTTATTATTTGCTAGTTGGATGACAAACATTATTTACCTCTGGGTATTCTTTTTTTCAGAGTTGCAAATATTACAATTAAATAGAAAAGCAAGTAATCCTAAAATAAATGAGATTAAATTAGATTAGTAGACCATAGTGTTGATTGCGTCGCTTTCTCTCAAATACACAGAAGTGATATATTGAGAGGAGGTGAGTCACGGTGTAATTTAGCCCTATCACCAGGGAATCCTCTTTAATCTAATTCTGCCCTATTATCTTCTTGTAATCCACCTGAGGTCATATTTACAGATTACCAAGAGCACTGTTTAATCTTGCCTCTTCCTGATACATTGCACTTCTTGTCTGTTTGTCTTCAGATTTTATACATGGAAATATTCTTCAATAAAAAGAGTTAATGTGTTTATTTAAGAATAGAGTCTTTAGAATAATGTTTAAATAACATTAAAATAAAAAAACATACAATCACAATAACAGGTACTCAAATAATGAAAAAGATTAAATATAAAGTCAATATGAAAATACCTAAATCTGATTAGAATGAGATTAGTTGATCTAACCAGTAAACATTATTTCTGCAAAATTTGCCATCTTAAAATAAAGCATCTCTTGGATCAGGGACATTTTTTAGTTTTTTTGTACTAACTGAACAATTCAGATACCAATCTCCGCTAGTAACCAATTTGTATGCAATTATTTTGAAAGGAGTACAGAAGGACACTTAACCTGCTGCTTGATACTCAGAACAAATCAAAGGAAAATTACAATCACTCAGACGCTCACTAGAGGTACTTCCTGAGTCAGTGCTGCACAATGTGTAGCGCTGACGTTAAACTTATTCATGCTCTGCATGGAGAGGCTGAACTTTGCCCATAGAGATCTGTGTGGAGATGTTGATTGGCCAGCATAGCATATGGCACTTCCGCCTGCCCTGCCTCCTTGGCTGAGATCATCAGAATTGACAATCATAGCCAATCCAATGCTTTCCCATATTAAAGCATTAGATTATATTAAAAGCATTAGACCACAGTAAAGCATTAGGCTGAGATAGTTAATTCTGATGATCTCATTGTTATCATTATGTTATTATTTATATAGCAACAACAATTTCCGCAGCGCTTTACAGTAGGTGGATGAATAAACATGTAGTTGTAACCAGTCAAATTGGAAACACAGGAACAAAGGGGTTGAGGGCCCTGCTCAATGAGCTTACATGCTAGAGGGAGTGGGATAAAGTGACACAAAAGGTAAGGATAGTAGACTAATGACAGTTGCAAGAGAGGAATCAGTCGGGAGCTGTTAACAGTTTAATTGAAACACTTTTATGAAGAAGTGGGTTTTTAATGATTTTTTGAAGGAGTGGAGACTGGGTGAGCATCTAATGGAGGAGGGAAGCGAGTTCCACATTAACGGTGCAGCCCTGGAGAAGTCTTGAAGGCGAGCATCAGAGGTGGGAGTATGGACAGAAGATAGACGTAAGTCTTCAGCAGAGAGTAAGGGCCTAGACGGGACATACTTGGGTATTAGGGAGGATAGATAGGTGGGTGTAGCATTAGAAAGCAAGAACCAGAATTCTAAATTGAGCCCTATATCTTACAGGAAGCCAATGCAGGGACTGACAGAAGGGCGAGTCAACGTGAGTGGGAGGTGCGGGCGAACAGGAAAATGAGCGTCGCCGTCATTCATTATGGACTGTAACAGCGCAAGTTTGGAGCACATAAAACGACTGAGAACAGGATTACAGTAGTCAAGGTGAGAAAGGACAGTGGAATGGATCAGCACCTTAGTCGCATCTGGCGTTAAGTAGGGTCGGATGCGCGCAATGTTTTTGAGATGAAAGCGGCAGGATTTGGCGATAGACTGAACATGAGGCTTGAAGGAGAGGTCGGAGTCAAAGAGAACACCTAGGCAGTAATAAAAGACTCTGTAATAGTAAATATAAAGCTAGTAATGATTTATTCAAACTATCAAGTCAATTACAATCAGGCTTGGGATATTAGATAATGGTCATGGCAATCAGTTAAATATTGCAGGTCAAAGCACAGGTGATTTACCACACCTGACCTTCAAGGGAATAGATCCAGTACCATAATATTATTATTAGTTATAATGCTGATGGAGCATTCTAATCGGAAGCCAATGCAGGGACTGACAGAGGTGGGAGGCATAGGAGGTGCGGGCAGACAGGAAGCTGAGCCTCGCTTCAAGATTTTCTTCATTAGAAGACTCATCTACTTATCACTGCACATATGCTATCATGAAATAAAGGTTGTCAAAAGACATACCATAAAATATAAATTATGATTGAGCGGGGCTTATCATTTCGTTATGTAGATAGGTGGAAGACAATATTTAGGCATATACTATGTCCATCTCTCTTCGTAACCAACAGTCTCAAACTGTGATTAATCTCTTGGATTTGATGAACATCAATACACTGCAATACTGGCGCCGGCCAATAGGTGGCACTGTGTATGGAGAGAGGTAGGGATAGGAAGCTACAGCTTATCCTTGCTTCTCTCTCCTGACTGCATCCGCAGGGGAGCAGCATAGAGTACAGCCAGCAACTCCCAGACTGCAGAGACAGCCTACAGATCAGGTAAGTGAGAAA